GAGCCAGTACGAACTGGATTTCAGCTTCGTTGTGGCAGTGGATTGGAATGCGGTGGGGGGAGTGACCTCTCCCAAGCGCACCGTCTTTCAGCAGCGGTGAAAGGTCCTACCGGCCCTTTTTCTGGATTGTCCAGTTTTTTTGTAGTCCGGTGTGCCCGCTGGGACGGCCCACCGATGATGCATTCCAATCCACAAGAAGATTAAATAATCCAAATACAACCGAACTCCTGTGATTCTGCCTTTATACATTTGCAAGCCAACAGCGATCGAAGTCCTCGTCCCTCGGCCTTCTAGGGGGAGGCCTGTGTAGTGACCATGACATTTTACCCCATCAAACATCACATTCAGACTTGTGCACATTTTGTTTTACTTTGCACCCATCCCAAGCCTATATATACTGGACTGCAATTTTGAACGGGGTGGCCATCTTGCCCGCGCGCTGCCGGCTGTTGTGCTCCTACGTGGTGTTACTCGTTGCTTCACCACTCTATCCCATTTTCCTCAGGCTATATTCACATAGCTATTGTACATAGCTATTTTCTCAAGACAATCTTTATATCCCACCGTCTTCTGTCTCACCGGGCTACGGTTTTCTTGTGTAGCATTCGTCAAGCCGCTACAGGTTCTTTGATATATTTTGGAATTTCGATGCTCAATCAAATAAGCCAATGCATGCAAGGTGATAAGGAATTTATGTGGCAATTTTATTTACTAACTCCCGGGGTTTCTAAAAAGAACAAGAGTGCTTTTATAAAAATACAATAATTAATTGTTTTTGGTAAGACCCAAAGCCACATAAAAGTGGGGAGTAAAATTAGTGTAGCTTAGCAATTTTAAAAACATTTCTTATACCATTTCATGTGCTTATGTGCAAAAGGTACAAAAACTAGCATTTAAACCATTTCAGGCTACTCACCTTCAACTGCATTAACCTTGTTCCCGGAGATTTAAATACCTCGATAGCAGAAATAATTTCATCGGTATCAATTTTTATGGAAATCCGTATGGTGAGCTGTTCATAAAACAGGCGAAGAATAGACACTGCAATCTGCACCAGTTCATTAGGTCGGATGGTATTTGGGGCTAAGATTACATATGATCTAAAACATGGATTATTCACAAAGTGTAACTAGCGACAACATACGTTATTGGCTGCAACTCATATCCCTGGGGATTTTGTGCGTGAACAGACATTTTGACTAGAGACCAAACGGCAAAAAAGCTGAGCAAACTTGTTTGCATGCCCTCCTTCTGACTGCGGGAGGGAGGTAAAAACCAAGCACATAAGAGGTATTATGAAAACGGAGTTATATGTCTCATCTTGTGGTGAGCAGATAATATAGTTTAACCAAGAAAAGGTTAAAAGCTGTTATGTTCTCACTTTTGGCTGAAAAGTTAGCAAATAGGTTTTACTGGAGCAGTAAAGCAATTATACTGAAAGCCAAAATGTGACGCAAACTTTTAGCTAACTAAATCAAACTCAGTTTAAGGCCCATCTTTGGAGGGAAAACTGCCTTTCTAACTTTCCGCCTATTGTTCTTAATAAAATGGCAGAAGTTTGACAAATAATATCACTCAAAATCGCATTACTCACATTCATACGTGTTACTCAGTAAGAAGTAGAGACAGAAAGTAAAATTACTTGCTACCACTAGGTGGTTTCTTGTCCTAACACTTTAAAAATAAAACCAGGTTTAGCTCTCGAATGTAAAAGCAAAGTTCCACCAAAAGCTAGTTTATATTAGTACAAGTTATCAGTAACTGCTAAATTTACCATGATAAGTGCAAATTCGTTTTAGAATAGGCAATTGGCGGATGTAGGTAGTTGTCGGCTAAATTAACCATAAATAAACTGCCTCGATTATTAGCTCATACGAAGTGGCATCATTGCGACAGAGCATATCTATAATCCACAGTTGTAACCTTAAAAGTTTACGGCGTCTCAAAGAACATAATCTTTCGATGCGCACAAAGAAGCTTTAAATATCCTTGCCCTTCCTTAATCAGTAATTCTAAATTCTTCGTCGCAGATTTGTGTGAAGCGCAGCTCTTGTTATCGAAATGGCTACTACCACTGCTATAAATACCAACACTACAACACAGGTAGGATGTCTGTTTGTAACGGAAAGCTTGTAATTGCATTGCTAAGCTCAACGAGCTAACTGCCATCATAGACCCGTCGTTCTTGATACTAGGAGTCATATTCAAAATGGTTTGTTACTGGTCTTTTCAACTAATACTTTGTTGGAAAGAACTGCCTATTTCCTGTGGTAGTAGATTGCACCAGCGATTGGAGAGAGCTCCCATCTTACTAAAAATAGGCTTACTGTGCGTGTCATTCAGGAATGGCATCAATCTCACCATGTACAAAGTTAAAACGCAATGCATAAAATCGCTGCAACTGTAAGCAACTTCAAATTCCTTGAATACATCAAAGCGTAACGTTCGTAAGCAACAATAGCTGCTGTCGTGGATACAAAAGGTTATTGCTTCTGATTTACCCTAACGTTTTGATGCAAGTGAAACTCGAATTGAGTGACTTTAAACCAAACCAACCAGATATATTTGGTACGTTGACTATTTTTGGTACGATGTAACAGATTAAATCTCAACGTTGGTCTGTAGCCTAGAGCCAATGAGCTTGTCTCGTAAATTTGCGGCGCGTGTTCGAATCCGCATAGGAATGGGCATCCTTAAGATATAGTCAGACCATTTTTCAGAAAAGTTGGTAGACGACCAGTTAATACACAGCGTTTCGATTTGATGAAGAGTTTGTGCCAAAATCGGAACGTTGTTTATCACCCTAAATATATTAACCGGTCGTCTACCAACTGTTCTAAAATGATAACTTCCCGATCGATTCCAAATATGTTCCAAGATATTGTATACTCAGCCTGCGTGCGACATGGTGGTCGCACGGCAGTGCAGCGCCGTTACAGCGTACAGCTGACACATTACACTAAAACTAAAAGAATGCGGGGTGTACAACCATTCAGTAAGTACCTTCTTTGAGGTAGTAGGAAACGGTGAGTCCAAATTTTACTCAAATGCAGACGTATCGAGCACCATGTTTCTCGTCTAGAAGGTTGACGAATTATGCAAGCTGTAGCATTCCGTTTTGAGAAGCAGTAACACTAACAAGTCGGTTGCAACTGATAAGTAGCATTGTGCGTAGCATGGAAAACAAGCTTAACGAAACCCAACTCTTTGATTCAGAGCGACAACCGGATTTAAGAGCTTTCACGGAGACTTGGTTATCTTCGGACATGCTAGACTCAGAGGGTTAGATTCCGGGGTATCACTTCTCTCGAGCCGACCGTTCTGCAGTGAGGTCTGGGGGTGGTGGGCTTCTGTGATGGGGAGGAGCACCAGAACCCACGTTGTAGGCGCCATCTGCGGCAATGATGCTACATCCAAGCTTTTGTGGTATTTAATTCATAAAATGTATATGTTTCATGTGATCTGGGTCATTTGCAGAGCCACTATATGGTCCGAAACTTGCTTAGTTGATTCGATACAGAAGAACGACAGCAATACAGACTGTCTGATCATGGGAGACTTTAGTGCCGCTGCTAATGGTTGGAAGCTGCACCCCTGTAACCTCCCTTCGGGGTCTTTCGAGGCTATTCTCCTCGAATCTATTATTTGTTGACATTTACGCTAGCCTGTTGCAGCACTAACTAGTATATATCCGGGACAGGCTCCACCCACCTTGGACATCTTACTCTCACCGACCTACTCAGACGTCTCCTCCTTGACTGTACTGCAACCAATTGGAAAAAGTGCTCCTTGTGTAGTTTTTTCAAATGGACACGCCGTCTCACCATTCATGACCAGAGTGTGTATCGTCAGAACCCCTGGTGTGCAAACACTCACAGTCTGGGACATGCTGTAAGTAGTCCAGATTAAAGTATACCAGGGAACCTGGACTTTGAGGACGTCTGCGGTCGATTATACTCAAAAATGATGTCACCCATTGGTCAAATATTCCCTATCTGTAAAAGGAATCAGTTTTCCAAGTGTTCTTATTAGATTAATCGTAAGCTGAGCACCCTTATGCACAAAGGACACAAATTATAAGATAGATTTAGATCCCATACATTGGCTTTACACGACTCTACTTACAAAGTGGTTAGAAACCTTTGTACACAAACGAAACGCAAGAATCCACAACAGTCCGAACTTTGTTCAGCAGAAAACTTTAACACCACTTCTAAACTACTGCTCTCATATCTGAAAAGCAGTAAAATAGCTGCGCATCGAATACCTGCCATGTATTCTAACAATAATGTTACCTTGCTGTATGAAGACGATGTAAAAACTGACAACTTGGCTTTGCAGTATTCCCCCGGATTTTCCACCGACGGTCCATTATCCAGTGACATCGTGTCATCTCACCTCTATACACTTGAGTATATTGAGCTCAGTGACGACTTGGTTATGTAACTACCACTTGAGGTAAACCCAAACTCACCGGGTCCAAATGATTTGTACCCTTTGTCCCTGAAGACGGTGGCTCAGCACATTGCTTCTCCTGTTTGCCAAGTTTCTCGGCGTTCCATATATGCCAGACGCTTTCCATGGCCTAAGTAACTGGTTATTGTGAGCCCACCTACAAGGAAGAGGACCGTCAGGATCCTGTAAACTGCCGGCCCATCTGTCTAACATCGACGAGTTGTAAAAGCGCGAAAAGTATTCTTAAGAGAGCACTAAATCTTTACATGAAGAGCCTGCAAATCCTATCATGCGCTCAACATCAGTTTCGGAAGACAGAGAAAAATGGAAGAGATTGCCGGATGCCAATAATGGCCTGGATGCCGTGTTCAACGACCTCAGCAGGGCATTTGACAAAGTTTCTAATAGACGTCTTCTTCTCAAACTGTAGGGAATTGGCCTTCCAAAGAAAATTCTCACTGGGTCGCTGACTTTCTGAATGGCCGAAGCATTCAAGTTAAAGTGAACAAGACCTACTCCACTCCAGTTTTTAGGATTAGTCGGGTTCTACAGAGCTTTGTCCTTGGTTATGAGCTTTTCAGAGTATCGCATCAATGATCTTGCACTGGGGTTCCAAACTGATTATCTCATATACACTAATGAGCTGAACCTGTGGCTAGAGGTGAACAAGCTTGGTGATGCTGACCGGCTAAAGAAAACTCTGGACCGGCAGTAGCGTTGGTCATTGAAGTAGTGGCTATGCATTATTCATACTAATTGTTCTGTGCTTCCAATTATGGCCCTAAACCCATCTGCTTTTTCTCATATTGGGGGCTTCCTGCTCAGGAATGCAAATTTGGAGTTCTCGTTTCGCCAACCCTACGCGAGACTCAGGACAACCTAAAAAAGTTGCCGCTGTTAATAGGATGTTTTTTTCTATAAGACCCTTTTCCTAGATGACTCTATTGATATTCCGACTTTTGTTCGGCTCCTATATTTGACTAATTCCTGAACACGGATTGCCAGCATCCTATTCTCTCACGAAAGCCGAATGCGCATTGAGAGCTTTCAGCGGCGGGGCTCCAAATCCATCATGACACTTCGGAACCTTTCTTGCCCACATCGCTTGCAAAGGATGAATATGTTATACCTGGAGTATCGTCGTCGCCATTATGATCTAAGGTACACGCAAAGTATTCTTCGAGGAGAGATGGGTAATGTGATACAAGAGTTCTTTTTTCTTTGTGCGGATAGTTTTTACACTAGGACAAGGTATAAAGCTGTTTACATTAAGAAGGCTTCGATTTGCTATTATTACGTCACTTTGTCAGCTCGTGTGGTAAATGACCCATCGCAATGAGGCTGGACCTTACCGTGGTGCGATGGTTTGTGTGCCTCAGTGATCCATTGAGCTATACTGGGTGGTGCTTTTGCACCTTCAGAGCCACTCATACCAGATTAGTCAATGGTTAGAGGCCAGACAAACTCAGCCTCCTGGTCCTCCAGGTTGGGGGTTGGAATGAGGGTGACTGCTTATTCCTTAAAACGGACTCCTTGTAGTCCAGTGACAAACCCGCTGCATTGCGGCCACGTTTTTGAACCAAAGGCTTTGGTTGAGAACGCTAATCGTTCTCCTGTCTAGGCCTGGGCAACCTGACAGTATCCTGCCCACGCAATACAATGAATCTTTCCCCAAACAAATTGCTGATTCTCTGGCCACCGCAGAGGATAATCAACGGTGCCCTATCTGCTGCATCGAGCAGGGTGGATAGGGGTTTGGATGCTACTGCTCAAGCCTTCCCATCTTCTTATTCCCCTTCT